CTGATTTTGATGAATTTTTTTGTGTGTGTTCAAGGGGATCTGGGAATGGTTTAGATTCACAATTTGAATAATAATTTTCATCAAAAAATAATATTAAAAAAAGTTTGAAATTTTCAAATTAAAGACGTGTAGACAGGACAACGTCTGTCGGGTCCGCTAGTATAATTATAATACAAATACAATATAACTATATCATTTCAGGCTTTACCGGATTTTTAGTACTTGTCTTTTTTATAAGATAAATAAAAAAAAAGACAAACTGAATTATGTAGCACACTTGTAGTCTGAACTTCCTCACGTATGTTACTTTTATTTCATACGACATGTAAACTTCACTTACCTACTGGCCGACTGTCCCATTTTTGTTCCCAACCGGTAGATATTTCTTATAAAAGGCTTTTTACATCACATGAATTGTTCCATGTCTTGCATTTTTAAAACGTGGAAAATACCTTCTACCTTCAGTATGCAAAGCATTGTAAAAGCTCGTTTACATTTAGGCCAAAGTCGCCATAAGATATTTCGATGTTTCATATCTCCATCTAAAATTGACAAATTTTTTGGCAATGCACAGATTATATACCAATATGTATAATAATTATTAAATGTGCACTTTTTCTTTAAAAAGTAAGTAAAGGGCATGTACTGATTTAAGGGTTTAACACTGTAACAAATATATTAATCGCCTAGAATTCTTTAATATGTATGAAGGTTTATTAAAAACAAAAACACAAAGTTTCTCGTCTTATCGAGGACATTTATTTTTATTACTTAATCTCATGACATATTTGGGTATAGATTATAATATATTATATTATAAAATAATTATTTTCTAGGTATGTATATATTTACAAGAAAACCTTGCTATCCGACTATAACATGTAAAATGGTGAATGATATGTAGGAACAATGTACTAAAAGTTATAAGACTTAAATCGACATTTGTTTAGAATGATTAATCGATTACAATAATATGTTAAAAATTAATTAATTTACTTGGTTATGTTTTCATAAAAACCGGTACTATACAATTTACATAAACAATAAAATGCAAGTACGTTACTAAATCAGATCATTAAAACGGTTAAATGTTGAGGGGTCTTGGAGGTCATAATCGTTAAAGAATAGAAAATTAAAAATGGTATTCAAATGACTTTAATCGTTACAAAATGTTTACAATTATAATATGATTCATATATATTTTTTAGATTTTGTAGTATGACATCTTGTTTAAGCCAGAATCTTCTTGATCCTTTTACTCTTGCGAGGTAAGCATAGGAAATAACTAATAATTAAAAATAAAACTAATTATGTTTCTATTTTTTTTTTTCTACTTCGAGATACTGGTTTTTGAGACGCTACCCAATAGGGAATATGCGTGTGATTTAAAGATGAAATATTTTTTTATAATCCTTATTGCTTTCGAATTGAGCTTATGGCAATATTTTTTATAATATACTTCATGATTAAGAAAATAATTATAAAAAAGTACAAATATAGGTGGGAAATTCAAAGTAGTTGAAACGCACGCCATTGGTCAGACCGAATGACGTCAAAGTATTATTTTATCGGAGCGATTAGCGATTTTGTCGCTACAAACTAAGTCGTCATTTTTCTATGTATGATACTTTAACGTCACGTAAAGCGCGCGAAATGGCAGGAGTTTAAAGTATCCGCACGTTTTTTTTTAATACTTAATTTTAATTTTGAGCTGGATATTTATTTACAATTTTATAACGATGTTAGCTAATGTATAATTTTTTTTTAAAAAGAACAGATAATTTTATTTAAAATGTCATATTCGCGTAAATCTAAGAAAATATTACCGGTATTGCTGTGAATTTTAGACAATAGTTACACCGAACTGTAACGCGATGCAGGGTTGCAAAAATTGTGTAGTAAAAAAAACACGCTTCATATAGCTTTAGCTTTATGAAGATCGATTGAAAATAAATCACTACGCCATCGCTGATGCACTTTTGTTATGGTAATTATTTGGTAATATAGTGATTTTTGAACCATAAGCTTAATCAATCACGTTTACAAAAGATTCAGATACTGTAAAATGATAATATATTGTATTGTTAAAAATTAATATGTAGTATATAAATTAAACAGTTTAAAAGACCAAAAATTCTCAAACTCTCAACTAGACCGGGCCAAAGAAATAGTAATGACAAAAATGAAAACGGAATTTTTTTCAAACTATTATCTAATTATTCAAATATTTTCATATGAAAAAAAACATGGGTACTTAAATGTAGTAAACGAAAAACTTTTGAGCACAAAAAATATAATGACAGATATTTATATATAAATGTTATTATTTGACAAATTAATAAAAAAAACACAAAACATAGCAGAATATAAAATATTATACGTACATAGTATACTCGTATGTTATACTTACTGACTGGTGTTAGGTTAGTTTCATTGAGAAAAAAATAATATTTCTTTATGAAGTAGGTATTTGAAAAAAGATAAATACAATATATTATATATGCTTTACATTCTACACATATGTATATACAATTATATGTAGAAATTATATATTAGGTCGCGGTAATGTAATAAGTAATATTAACCTTATCTTAATAACGTGTAGGTACAAAATTACTTAAATTACAACCTTAATGACTTTAGCATTTCACGATATAGTTACGATTGCCTTAGGCTTGTAACACATTTATACTAAATTAATCGAATTTCCATTTATTATAATTTTCAAATGTCTTTAAAAGAAATAAAGTTTCAAATAGTTATTAATAACTATAACAATAAAGTAATAACAATAATTATAAGCACGATAAATTCAGATATTGAAAAAAACTATTTATATTATTTAGTTAAAAAATTAACAGATTAACTATTTTTGGTTTTTGCATAGTTGTTTTTTATATTCCAACGCGACAGCAGTTTCATTTTATATATTAATGGACACATTTATTATATTTTCATTACACTCAGATAAATATCATATAAATTATCAATAATAATGTAATATAAACAATAAAACATAAAAACATATTACTAATAATTTATTAAACATGGCAATATAACATATGAATTATGGTTTATGAAATTATAGATATTAAGTATTTTGTAAATTACTCTTAACAAACTCCCAGACTAACACTTCGCCTGGCGTGCGGTTACAAGTTCCCTAACATAAATTGCTATTTACATTCATCTACTTCTAGTGGAAATAACGCAAACTTCAAGCTTCAAAACAAAACTTTAACGAAATCTCATTACATGGAATATGCTCATTACACGGTGCTACACGTGAGCGTACTGGCGATTACTGTAGAACAAATTTTATAGGTTTAATTTTAGTAGATTTAAGATGATAAACCATCTTAACACTATGGTGTTATGATGGTTTATCATTTATCATATAGGCATATGGTGAAATCGAAATTTTTGTTTGAAACTAATATTAAACAGAATAAAACTAAAATCAAGAGTTTTATCCTAAGTGTCTTGATGTAGACTGTCGAGGCTAGCTTGTACGGCTACAGATTCATAGACACTGGGTTCGACTCTCGCCTCAAACCAAGTATTATGATTATTAAGTTTCCTGGCAAACAGATTCCACAAACAGATTGACCGCAATTGTCGAAAATGGTGGATACATTATGGACTTTTACAACATACTAATTTTAAAATTAATAAGAGAAACAGGAAGGATAAGCTAATAATTTATTAATGACTCTATAAAAGGAATCAAACTTTAGAAATTTTAACAATAGGTACTTATCTTGTATTTATACAATACTATTTGTATATTACAATATGTTAATGTTTTTTCTTTTCTTGAAAGATCGTTAAAATTGTAATCACTCTAGTACAGTGTAGTGTTCAAATTCCATAATGTTCAACCTTACATCATACCTACAGGCTATCACAGGATGTTCTGAGCTAAATATTAAAAATAAGCTTTGGACGATAACGAATAATTGCGAAATCTTTTTGACTCGAATATTATAAAGAAAATTATTTTGCATTAATCGATTATAACAATTATTCACAATAGTCCACTAATATAAACTTAATGGTAATAATTATTTACATTTTTAAATAAACCTTTCAGAAACTAACTGGCAAAGAGCAGATAAATCGCATGTTGTCATTATTTCGCGCCAAAAATTATGTGAATACAGATAACGTAATAGCATTATGTTATATGAATTATGTTAAAGACAAACGGATTAAATAAGTGCACAAGCATCGTTTTATTTATTTAATCTCATTATAATTTCAACACATTATAAATTTTGTTATTAGAAAGATATATTTTAAACAAATATGTTAATCTAATTTGTATGGGACAAAAGTTGGTATTACAATCTAATTTGAAAGGCCGCGTTTATTATACGAAAGTTCTTAATATAATTCAAAAAAGTATTTATTTACAAACATTAAAGTTAATATATTCGAATTGGTAACGAGATAATATTAAAATTATAAGTGATTGGTCTTTAATGAGAACAATGGAATTTCAAACGTTATTTCCATATTAACATTTCGTGAATAATAATATATATTTGGTGAGTGATTTTGATTCCTAGAATAAAGCAGTATTAATTTACAAGTAATTTTAATAAATACACATTAAAACACAATTCAAAATTGTTATTTTGTTTTTGTTCTTAAGAAATAGTAAAAATATTGAACTTAGACCAAACAAAATAAACAACGCAACTAAAGTATAGTGTAAACAACTTCTCCCTATACATCATTGTACGTTGATATAGCAAAAGTGGCAATATAAAAAAATCTATCAGTTCACAATAAATACAAGTTAGGTTATCATTTCTCACTAAACTTTAAATTCACTTTTAACCGAGGAACTGAAACAATCTACCTATATAAATTATTTACATTCGTCGAACGTTGCATCATTGTAACTGGCAACAAACTTCCACACTAATTACTGGCAGCGCCGCGCTACTGCGTTCTAATTTTAAAATCGATTTCTTTTTCGCAAATATATTTTATGTCGGAACTAAACTGCCAGATATAAAAGGATATAATGAAGATAGAATCCCTATAAAAATTAATAACACACTGTGGTCCGTTGATGTCGCTTTGTCTGCCAAGGCGCATTCCTGGCCTCGATATTCGAAGCAAAAATTCTGTAAGTTTATAAAAAGAACCATTAACGACGCACATATTGGATAAATGATGGGACTTTTATTTTTATCTATCCAATAACCAAAAAAATGAACAATTTTTAGTCCATTTTTAAATAATATAAAGATTTAAGTAGGATATTATATAAAATAATTATAATAATAATTAATCAAATAATAATTACAATACATGATAATTTATAAGAAACTGCTTATGTAATATATGTATTGAATAAAAAAAAATATTAAAAAAAGTTAAATTAAAATATAACAAGTATTTAATAAATTATTTGGAAATAACTAATCTTTATTGTACAAACCCTAATAATGTTTGAAGCCATGCGCTTCAGGAATGCACTCGTGAACAGGGCGGCATCGTCTCCGCACGACCTCTGAACCGTTCGCTCCGAACACAACAAGTACTCTTGGAATGAACTGCAAAGAAATTACTTTTCAAATAAGAGCTTTACAAAACTAATCAAAAAAAATCAAGGTACGTATATTTTAAATCTAAGTGTATTACTGTATTAGTTGTAGTCCAATAAAAAAATGTTTTGGTGACAAAACCCAGATAAGGGGTCATAAGTTCAATCCTCATCTTATACATAAAATCTTTCGATGAAAAACGAGTGCTGAATCTTCGTATAATCTTAAAATTAATTAAAATACATGACGATTTATATTTTATATACCAACTAGCGTAGGTAGCGTAACTAGGTAGGTTTTAATATTTTTGAGCGGAACCCTAATTCGTTTTCAAACATAAAAGTAGCTAAGTTACTCCTTATAATATTAAACACCTGCCAGCGAAAGTCCCGTCATAATCAGTCTAACCGTTTCGGATATTAGACGGAACAAACAGACAGACAGACAAAAAATTTGAAAATAATCTTTTTCTTATAAATACATACACCATATATCATTTCATATGCATTTAGTAAAAAGCTGTTATTGTGACATCACAAACAGACACTTCAATTTTTATTTATATGTATATCTGAATAAATTAATTGGTATGTAGATAATTGAACAATTATTGTAATTAGATGATGTATTACTGCATTAGCTATATATACTCGTAATATAGATCAAGCGTTACTCCGCTCACCGAAGCCGTTCATCAATATGAACTAATTAACTGCTTAGTGTGAACGATTACCGATAATAATAGAGACAGACGTATCACCCACATTTATTATGGTAATGTATGGTAATCTTACCTATAAGTAATATTATAAACGTGAAAGTTTAGATGGATGTTTGTTACTCAATCGTGCCAGAACGGCTAAACGGATCTGGATGAAATTTTGCACAGAGATAGATATAGTCTGTAATAGCACATAGGCTTTATCCCGGAAAAATGTACAGTTCCCGTGGGATAGATTTGTTTTTTTTTTGTTTTTCTAGAGGCGAGGGTGAGCCGCTAGTTTTATTTGAGTTTCAATGAAAGCATAAAATAGACACTAAATGTAAAACTTTACCTATAGCTTCAAAAAATTAAGTTTAAAGCGACTTTTGATTAAAATTTTCCATAAGTAAACTCTAGTACTCGTACTTCCTTTCACTTTTTCACTGTGTCATTTTCTTATTATAAATTGAAAGGTATTCCAAGCAATTCAAATATGTTTCTTTCATTTTCATGGCTCGATTTGGTAAAATTTGGTGTAGATACTCACGAGCCTTTTAAGTTTAATGCAAGCAAAATCCATAGTAATATTATAATTGTAAAAGTATAGTTTAGTAAGTTTGTTTGTCCTTATTTCACACAGAAACGGAACAACTATCTCCATACTAAAGATTGACGTAATTTTTGTAAGGTGATGGTTGGAGGGTTAGGGAGGGCATAGTCTACTTTTATCACGGGATTCTTGAGCTTGCCATTTAAACAATTATAAAAAAAAATATTGATTAAAGCTTACCACACTATCACGGATACTTTGTGCATGTCTATGTGTGGGACTGATTTCTGGTTGGGCCTCACGTAAAATAAGCAAATGTAATGTTGCAATATTGTAAACAAATATTGTTTTAAAAACAACAATTAGTTTTTAACCGGCTCGTCTCAGCAGAACTGCCTCCCAAACCAGTGGTAGATACCTCACAGACTTACATACTGATATATAATTCAAATTTTTAAAATTTAAAAAGTTTTGATTCAAAAATGGTATTAAAAGTCTACTTGAATATAGTATGTTTTGATTTGATTTGAAACAGCGAATTTCGATTGAAATGGTTTTTTGAAGCATGAGTGCGTGCGTCTCTAGTAACAGTTTAGCACCTCCAGGTAAATTACTAAAAAAAATATTAAATTTCTAAGAAATCGTAACGCCGGCGTGTCCGCGGTCGTGGAGGGATTAAATGGATAACATTTTACTTTCTACTCTAATTTATAACTTGTTTGTCCAGTGATTCTTTATATTCTTACAAAGAATTTCAATGTTAATGATACATAATTAATGATAAAAAATTTAAAATAATACCTAATAGCTAGTTAATAAAACAGCTATAGGATATTAATTATATTTGAGCTCTCTATATTAAAGTACACTAATAAAACGTATTTACAATACACCGATCATGAAACCTAATAATTGGTTTACAGTTTACCAAAGCAAGTAAATTTTGCGTTTAAATTTCCACATATATTATGTAATTGTTTATTTCGTTGAATGAAAGCTTAGTTTTACTCGTTAGCTTGAAACAAGGTTTTGTTAAAATCTAACTTTGAGAGTACATTTCAATTAACTATCTAAACAAGAAACTTTTACTATAATGCAGTTTTGAAATAATCTGATTTCATTTGTTGTAAAGCGGTTGTGAATTCTAATGATGTATTACACACTAGTAAAACCCGCGGCTACGCGCGTTCAATCTACAAAAAAAACTCTTTGGTTTTATCTTATACAGATATGTCTTTATAAATATTGTTCATACAAAAATACAAACAATATACCTATGTATGTATGTATGTATTCAGCCCTTTTTAAAGTCCCAATGCTGTGCAAGGGCCTAGCCCAGGGGAAACAGCCTTAGTCCACCAGTTTATTATTTCTCATTTAAATAAGTATACCTAATAACTCGTAAACTTATAAAAAAATAAGATACGAATACATACAGACGAAAATAAAACTCCTTTTTGGATTTTTTGGATCATTGCTTTATGCAATTTGTATATAAAATAAAATAGTAATCGAATGTAAGTGCCAAAATTTGATAAACCGTTTAAAATTTCTCAAACTCGTCAACACGTAGATAACACTCATTATAAACATTTATCACTCTCCGGTCCATGTCAATATGTTGATCTGTTGCATCACACTTTCACATAAGTAAAACTTGAATATTTATATAATTACTGGCATTGCCCGCGGCTCTGCCCGCGTTCAAATGAGAAAAACCTAATTTTTAGGTTTTAAATAGTAGTTATACTCTTACATTGCAGTTTTTGTTTTTTCTCAGAAATGAGATATTTTCCCGCGGTAAAAAGTATCCTATATGTTGACCCGGATAACCAGTTATCACCATACCAAATTTCATCAAAATCCCTCCAGTGGTTTTTACATGATGCGGTAACGGACGGACGGACAGACAGACAGACAGACAGACAGACAGACAGACAGACAGACAGACAGACAGACAGACAAAAATTCTAAAAACTATAGATTCGGCCTCTGTACCGATAATAAAGTCTATTTCAATAAAATTTTCCAAAAAATATTCAATGTACAGATTCGGCTTCGTTACAATTTTATTATATGTAAAGATTATTGACGTTTAATTGACCGTTTCTATTTCCATTATATCTATAGAAAATGACGAAGACTCCACATAATCAGTATCTTTGCATTCTAATCGAATCTTATCTCGAACTAGTTAGAAACTGTAGAAGTTCCAGCGATATCTTCCGATAGCTCTAAAGTGAAATTAGTATTCTGTAGTATTCCGCTGCAAATGATTTCAGATTCTCTTATTGCGCCGTTCACACGTTTCGCAGCGTTTCACTCGGCTTTTTTACAGGAAATAGTATATTGTTTTTGTTTATCTTTTCAAAGTGCAACTGCATGGTCAGCGATGTGCAAGTCCTGTGATGCTGGTTGAATAATTTAAAATATAACAGTATTTTGAATATATTATCTAGATTATATTTACTGAATGTACCTATATTGTTTTTTTTTTATTGAACTTTACTTTTTAGGGTAAAGTAATTTTTATTTTATCTATACTTAAAATAAAATTCTGAGTCGAATCCGTACATTAAATATTTCTTGGAAAATCTTATTGAAATTGACATTATTATCGATACAGAGGCCGAATCTATAGGTTTCAGAATTTTTGTCTGTCCGTCTGTCTGTTACCGCATCACAGAAAAACTACAGGAGGGATTATCATGAAATTAGGTATGGTCATAGCTGATTATCCGGGTCAACATATAGGATACTTTTTACCGCAGGAAAATATCTCATTTCTGAGAAAAAAAACAAAAACTGCTTAAAATAAAACCACGATGATACTATATAAATTTTAGCAAGGTAACTTACTAAATATGGCGAAAACTATAAAAAATAGCTTATCTTGAAAAAATATATATCAATAGCGCTATTTTATTCATTAAAAAGTTATTTTAATGAATATTTATTTTTGTGTTACTTAGATATTGGACAATAGATATCGCCATGTGTTTTTAAAATACGCAGTTCTAATTCCAAAAAAATGAATGTACAAATTAGATCTTTCTATGATTTTATTAGAATTACTACCTACTAAATTACCCACCGCCCTGCTCATGTCCAAATTATCGATAAACAATCTTTATAAATAAGTTACATCTATAGGTAGATATATTAAAATTGAAAATTGTAACTAAGCCGTATCTGTACATTAAATATTTCTTGGAAAATCTTATTTAAATACACATTATTATCGATACAGAGGCCGAACCTATAGTTTTAAGAATTTTTGTCTGTCTGTCTGTGAGCGAAACACAGAAATACACTGGAGGTATTTTGAAGAAATTTGATATGGTAATAGTAGGTTATCCGGCTTAACATATAGGGAAAATCACTGCAATTATTTGACAACCAAACGATGCGCAATGAAATTATTATATGTATGTAAGAGTATACTAATATGTAAAACCTGAGAATTTGGTTTATGGCCATCTGAACGCGGGCGGAGCCGCGGGCAATGCTAGTCAATAAATAAAAGTCAAAACCACAAAAATATGTTGTTTACCGCAGAAAATATGCTAATTGCGTATCATAATTCAAAAACTTTTTAAATAGTGTGAACGTATATTATTAGAAAATAATTATGGTAAACAGTAAAAATAAATGCAAAAATATTTAATAAAAACTTTTATAATACCACCAAAGTCATATGTACCTATAGGTTAAATAATAGTCAACTAAAATAAAAATCGGTCAAGTTCGAGTCGAATTCGCACACGGAGGGTTTCGTACCATCTTACATGTTTTTATTAATAACTTTTTATTAATAATAGACTTTTACTCTATGTATGTAGTATATTAACTTCAATGATCAATATTATGAACGTTAAAAAAATTATTATTTGTTGTTATACCGGCAATAAAAATACGGTTCATGAGTTACAGTCCTCTGATAAACGGACAGACGGACGGACATATATAATACGGACGGACGGATAGTAATAGGGTTCCGTTGGCGACTTTCGGGTACGGAACTCTAAAAAGATAAACATATTGTAAATACCTAACGTATTTACTAATTATTAAAAAAATGCCATTTCTATTATATCAACGAAGTGGAGATTTTTTGTCGTTCTCTCTCACTGATTAAACACGCCACACTTAAATGTCTAGATAGATTTTAAACTGATTGTTTAAAGTATATAATTGTTATAAAATCTAACTAACAAAAATATTTGTATAGCAGAAAATTCGAACTACTTGCTATCATCATTCAACCAGACGATCGACAATTAAGCCAATTATTATTTACTTTTAATGTTTGCACTAAAATTGGCTATAAGTACACTAGCTTTGAAACTACTAATTAATTAGGAAGCCTCTGTAATTCATTGGAAAGTTCCATAAATTCGAATATAAAATATTCATGATGAGAAAATGAATACTGGTTGCTTTGAAAACTTTGGATGTTGATAGGCTGTTTCTGTTGACAGAATAATTCACTTAAATATTTAATTTGTTAAATACTTGTAAACATTAAAATTTGGTTTTGTGGAAATAATCCTTACTAATTGATCTATATACATATATAAAATATAGAAATATAAATTTTCGTTTGCAAAACTTTCGCAAAAGTTTGCAAATCTCTAAAAGCTCCTCATGGATTGCTTTTGCACATACACCTAAGTATTTTTACACGTATACAGTTTTTACGCTATTCATTTTGCTGTAAAGTTAAGGAACTTCAAAATCGTTTTACCTATCATTATTGCCTTTTTTATGTTGGGAAATGCCTTTAAGCATACCACCTGTAGACATACATATGACACCAAGTGTCAAATTTTAATATAAATAACTAGCTAGTCTAAATTTAGGAAGTAAAGTAGCGTAAGATGTATAGAGTATGAACCGAAGGGGATATAGGTTACTGTTTGTCCGTAACAACTTCTTGGATGCCGTAACATCTAGTCGAACATCTTAAACTAATTTGTTACTTTTCCATCTGTAACGCCTACAGTATACAGGGATTTAGAGTGAAATTTAGAATGGAAATATCCCACATTTCATAACAAACATAAATTCTACTACTTACCAACAAACCGTTCTTAAATATTCTTCTTGATTAGCTGCTACATTAACCTCGTCGGTCTGGTATTCTTCTTTCTTCTGATGATTGCTGAGTGTAGTCAGCGTTACTTCATAGTTTTTACTGCATACTTCATACTCTGGTCGCACATTCTTCACACAGACAGCGTGCCTAAGATATTCATCTTGATACTTTCCTCGTGTACATAACTCTTGAACAACTTCTGCTATTCCTGAATATATCTTCTTAAACATCGCTTGTTTGTTCTTGTCCATACAAACTTCAGTGTAATTATCAACACATTTTATGCCAAGTCGTAGTTCGCTGTAAAATAATTCATTATAAAATATCAAGTTTGCGGGAAATTAGGTAATAAATCATGCTTAAATTTGATATACCAATTAAAAATAAACACAAATTGAGAAACTATAAGCTTAACATCACAATAACATATCTTAAATATTTTTTTATATATATAGCAAATTAAAATTTGATATAACGCAGTGTGATGCTTATAATTTTATGCAATAATTATGTTGATCAAAATGTTTCAACTTAGAGCTTCATTGGCTATTCAAAGGTCTAATCAAGCGGCGAGTAAAGTTAGTCAGTCGGACAACTAGCGTCAAATTGCTATTTGCCACAAACAAGAACACTAAATTAAGATGAACTAACTACCACGTGCCATTTTGTTCAAAGTTTCTCGAGGGTACTAACGCAGTCTTAACGAAATTTCAATCAGACTTCTTAATCACACACACACACATATTAGTCCAGTCAACAAGTGCCTTTTAGGTTAACTTTTTTCAGCAGTCTCGGAAAAATATGCACGAGGTGTCATTCGATTCGGAATGGCATGGTGATGATTTAAAAAAAAATCAAGTTCTGCTTGCAAAATTTGCAAAAGTTATAAAACAATAAACTAAAAATAAAAAAGGGGGTTTAGTTTTTTGCAAATATCCCAAAAACTAATGAAGATTTTTCAAATCTAAAAAAAAATCAAAAAGGGAAGAGGAAATTTCCTAAAAAAAGTCTCTACTTCCGGAACTGTAGGACCAATATTTATAATTTTCTCAGATGGATGAAAATACGGCCTAAAACGGGTGATCTGGCTTGCGCAATTTACGCCTACTTCGGACACTTTATGAATAAAAAATATTTTAACATATGAAATATAAAATTAAGAAATGAAATGGGACTTGTTTTAGGAAATGTCCTACTCATTTTAATTTTTATTTTTTAGATTTGAAAAATCTCAATTAGTTTTTGAGATATTTGCAAAAAACTAAGCCCCCTTTCTTATTTTTAGTTACTTTAAAAGAATATAAGTAATAACCAATACTCACACGCAACTCTTATCTAGCTCTTCCCTGGTTAAAGCAAAAGAAATATCAGATGAGCTGAGTACTGGTAACGACATAGAGCATCGTTGTAGAAGATCTTCTTCTTTGTTGCAATTTTCTTTGGCAGCGTCTGTTAACAAGGATAACTGGTATTAATATTTCTATATCAATATATCAACATATTTTATGAAAATGTACATGAACTTCAAGATTTCTTGGAATTAATTATGTAAGCCCTAACCCTTACGGGTGGTATTTTTTTGAATTTGTATGGGACCATCTTTGACGGATAACTTACTCCTCATAAAAGAAAAAAAATCAACAACAAAATTAAATACCATATTTTTTTAAAAGATACGCCGACATTAAAAACCACTTTTAAAGTAATGACGTAGTAACAGTAACCAAATTAATGGAAGGACTTTTATTTTTATTTGAGATTTACCTTCATAATAACTCATTAATACTTTAAAAAAACAAGAAAATCGATTAACAATTGTCAAAGTTAAAATACAGATACTAATATCAACACGTAATAGGCAAATGGCCTCCCTTCCATTTATTTTCCTTTGGGGCCCAAAAAGGCTAGTTACGCCACTGATTCTCACACATAGGACATCCTTTGTATGAGAACAGAATGTTTACGTGGGATAATAGTAAATCTCCAACGTTATTTCAATAACACTTTAGTATTAAACTAATCAACAGTAAAAGTGCTGGCCAACTCACGCATATTGATAAGAGAATAAAGATACCTATATGGAGGCAGATGAAATGTTCACCTTCTGGGAAAATGTCAACCTCTAATACATAAGCGCAATATTTATCTAGAGAAACAATTCTAAGCCAAAATAATAGAGTGCACCTCTCAACAAATTCTACAGTAAGTACATTACAGCCGAAGACTTCTGTGGTGAACTTTAACTCTACAAGCAGCGATGACAATAGCCTAGACATGATGTTTCTTTCATCGAAATGATACTTTATAGCCGAGTGAATAATATTATAAATATGAAGGCGTGTTTGTTTGTACTTCTTTCACGTCGAAACAGCGTACACGCAAACAGCGGATTGGCGTGATTTGTGTGGAGTTTGTTGGAGGGCTGGAGAGTGACATAGGCTACTTTTTATCATTCCTACGAGAATATAAATACCTTATAATACAACCCATAACAATTCTTCATATCATACCTATGACTTATGTATGTATGTATATATATATGTGTGTGTGTGTGTATTTACATATATAACATATCGTCTATTTATTCCATACTAACCGTTAAAACGTACCCAAGGACGAACCCGAACGAAGCTGGAATGAGTCGCTAATAAATAAATAAATAAATGATGTTCGCCAATGTTAAATAAAAGAAACACAATAAATTGAGCATTGACAAAGCTGCACATAGAAACTTATAATTATTAGTCAACGATTTGAATACTATTTCAATAACAATTAAAAATATAATAAAATTTATTTTATTCAATTGTATAGGTACAATCTGCCATTGTTTTGCCATTGTTAGGAATTATAACTAGAGGATACTGATCAATGCAGCGCTCATCTCGGCTATGTAGTTCAGATAATAATTATTAATCTAGTACATAATGATACTTACAATTAGTACTCAGTCTATATAATTCTCACATAACAAATATTTAGTTACTAGCATTGCCCGCGGCTCCGCCCGCGTTTTGATGACCAAGAACCAAATTCTTAGGTTTTACATATTAGTATACTCTTACATTGCAGTTTTTATATTTTTTCTCAGAAATGAGACATTTTCTCGCGGTTAAAAGTATCCTATATGTTGACCCGGATAACCAGCTAATACCAAACTTCATCAAAATCCCTCCAGTCGTTTTTCTGTGATGCGGTAACAGACAGACAGACAGACAGACTACAATTAAGAGCTCCAAGCTGGAAACCTTATCTTTTGTATGAAATGAAAAACATAAAAATATAAAATTTTAGTACCTAGTGAATGTTGTTTGCCATATAAAAGGCTTGCATTAATGATATGTACACACAATTATACCCGCATAGCTGTCTAGACTAGTTTTTCTGGAATCTAAAACAGTAGATGATGTATTCGTGTACCAACCACCGTAGGTACCTACAGCTTGCTCGATCTACGAGTATAGGTAATACCTAGTGAATCAACCGAAATAAAACATCAAAAATGTCATAAAGAAATTAACCCAGCTGTTCTCAAATAAATAAATAAATAAATAAATATGTTAGGACATTAACACACAACACCATCTAGTTCCATGGTAAGCTACGAGGCTTGTGTTATGGATACCAGATAGTTGATACACTACACATATATAGCTTTAAATACATACATATTATAAATATAAACACCCATGACTGGAGTACAAACATTCGTGCTCATCACACAAATGAATGCCCCCAGGGGGACTCGAACCCGCGACCGCTGGCACAGAAAGTAGGGTCACTACAAACTGAGCCAAACGTGTCGTCAAATTGAAAATGATGATTACATACAGACATACCTATAATTTATATTATATATTGCAAAGTCAAACAGCCACTATACATTTTCCAAATTGTTTCCACTTTATTAAATAATAGGTAATCTTGCCAACTTTTATTTATATTCGTCACGTAGGTGTCTACCTTAAAAATATGTTCATCATGACGTGATCGTCGAACGTCATACAGTAGCCCATTTCCTTAATACTTGGACATTCTTAAACACTTCAGCCTTGATTTAAGTAATAAGAAATTGCTCAAAATATTTTTCTTTGTTCGAGCAAAAAATAAGTGGACTATCGGTTTCGTAGTGTTTTTTTTTTAATTATAATTACTGTATTTCTATTTACTATAAAAAACAGTCGCTACTATTATCGCGGAAAATTTTATACCTAGGACCTAGAAAGTTAAGAATATTCTTAGGTGAAAAATCTGTGGATTTTTTTTAGTATTATATAATAAAGGAAATAAAATATCAATGAACAATTTTTAAAACTTGTCATTTTAATTAACATTTAAATCGAATAGTTGTCATCGTCATGTACTTTTAACAAGGTCCATGTTTTTTGTTGAATTTATTAGCGTTCGTGGTGGATTTTATAATACGCAATTCACAATTGTAACAATTTAATTTGTATTCTTATTCCTACGTATAAAGTGTATAGTAGTCGTACACTCGTAATAGCAGGTGTTGAATGGTTATCTTTATTGCTAAGGCATACGGACTTTTACAATGTAGCAAATCTAAACGAGTCGCCACGTATCCATAATCTATATATCAATGGTTGTTTTCCATCGCTTATCAGTCTGTATAATGTGTATGCCGGTTACGTTCACGTCATTTAATATATGTATCTTGTTTGGCGTGGTGCGCACGCGCAGACAAATATTTGCTAATGAAAATATGAATTTTCTTAGTCGTTGTTTAAATGTAATAATTCAAATCTTGTATTTGGACATATTTGAAGTTTTTCTATAAATTAATTACCAGTATTTGGCATGTCTAATGCTACCATATATTATATATTTTATTTTAAACTTTGAGTTATAAAATTTCATTCTCCGGAAGAGGTAGCGTAACGCGCTCGCTTGGGAAACCGAGTGAAGCGGGTTCAAATCCCGGGTCTCGCACCTCGGACATTTTCATGTGCAAATCATTTCTAACATGATTACCACTTGCCTTACGGTGAAGGAAAACATCGTGAGGAAACCTGCGTGTCTGAGAAAACCTAGCAAGTTTTCGAAAGACATGTGAAGTCCGCCTACCCGCACTTGGCTAGCGTGGTGGACTATGGCCTGATCCACCTTGTATTGAAGGGAGGCCAGGCCCCAGCAGTGGGACGTTAAAAAGGGCTGTGACGTTAAAAACAATAAGTGTTTTCTTCATTCTACGCGACATTGGCCAAGTAAATTGTGCCCAACTGGTACCAAAAGCTACGAAATAAAAGAATTAAAATTGAATTCAACAATAAGTGATCTTATCCACATTAGTACAACCACGGTAATGTAATGCATAATATTACCGTGGTACAACTTTGCAAAAACTATGAATACTTTCAAAAATCACGACAACTAGAAAACAAAAAGTCAGAATCGAAAAATTAAATACATAATATATTCAATTTTATCATATCCTTTCACTAATATCACGGCATTGGCCTCGAAAAGCGTGATGTCCTCCTAAACCTGTTCGTTTTATATTTATAACAGTGCCGTTCTTAGTGCGAGCGCCATACATTCCGACGACATGGTGGGGAGCCAAGCCCACCACGAAGCCACGTCTCATTGGCTGGCAAACATCGTACGATGTTTATAATTGTGTGCACGTCGTATTTACAGACTAACATGAACGTCACACTATCTCAGTGTTATTGGAGACCAATTTAAGATGCTTCCTCGATCTACAAAATTAGTTGACGTAGAATACACAACAAGCCATGTTAAATGATTAAATTGGCTGATCATAAGGATGCCTTAGAAAATCAGTGGCCTTCAAACGACTAATATTCCGTTCATTTGATGTTTAACCCTGATTCAATGGCGTAAGAAAATGTCCGTTGCTTGCATTGTAAATAGTTTCTTGCATTATTATGCAACATATTTTTTCTGAATATGTGCACTTTATATATTATTGATGTAGGTCGGAAAAACTAAGAACAATAATAAATATTGCTATTTATTAATGATTTTTATTTATTTTGCCTTAGAAAATGACTCGTAAACTATATCGAAAAATAGTAAGGTGGCAAATCGTAGAATTTGTATAGCATTTCTATTTTAGATGAAAAATTTACTTGTTATTCTATGTTTATATAAAATACAATTAAGGTAAAGTGACTACAATATTCCTTACAAAGAAGTTTACTAAGAAAATTGAAAATATTAATTACAAAGTTCCACGTACACTGTATCATAACAAGACCGCACTCGTATGTCGGGGTATGGATAATTACAACGTAATCTCACCCGGATCATTTACTTATTACAACACTTTCCCTAGTTTAAATTGCTTTATCTGGCCCGAAATGCCAGTACTTTGGTTAGTTCAAAACTGTAAATTTTGTCAGCGTGTGTAACGTGACTAGAAAAAAAAAATTGTGTGTGTACTTATGTACGCACGTAAGAAGTTA